TTCTTTGTAGTTTTTTAAAGATAATTAAAAAAAAAAAATGTTTAAAAGTCCAATTTTTATATTTTTTATTGAATTTTCATTTTTTGAGTACTTTGAACCGTCGTAGGGGTGAAAGGGTGCGTTTTAGGGGAAAAATGGTCTGATATAGATAGGCCTAAAATTTTATGCTCTACAACTTTTATTTAAAACTTTTTTTGATATTTTCAACATATAATCCAAAAATCGTATTTTGGGGTAGTTTTTAATTTTTTTCACCCCTTTCCCGGTGGTTGAGAACTTTTTTACTTTGCCCACAGTATTGTACGCATTTTTCTGATAATTTCCATATTTTTTCAGCCGTATAGCTCAAAAACCCGATTTCAGGGCTATTTTGACTGGACTATAAATTGTGTAAGTTGTGTAAGTCTGTGTGAGCTGCAAGGTTATCGAACGATACCGATGCTTTGTTTACTGCATCAGATAGGACGTTTTGGAAAATTCGAGAACCGCGTGCGGATGGATATAAAGAAGGGGGTATTAAGTCGTCATGAGTAGACGCCAGTAACCAGTCACCGTCAGTTTTTGTTCGTCGTCATTCAGTTAAAAAAGTTCAGTTGCGTATGTCAGTTGTTATCAAAAGATGGTGAAGCCTTTATTGTATCTTTTTGAATACCTATTTTAAATATATTTTATCAGTAGGATTAAACTGGGTGTACGTTAACCTCGCACGTCTACATTAAACCCAATCTTCTATGTAAATATATATATTTGTTTTTATTTATAGCTATCGCATTCGGCATTCTATCTTAATTGATAAAATTTGGAAAGTGATAGTTTTTGTTAGCTACCCCCATCCCAAGATCATACCGGCGCCCTTTGATATATATGGCAACAATATTATAATAAATGAATCTTACAATTATTTTTCTCTTGATACTCTGTTTTCGCCTCATTCTCTCTAATCTTTGTTTTTTGAAGGTTTCACTTCTAACACGTGTGATCTGCAAACATGATATTTTTTTTATGCGGTATATCTCAGCGGCGTTAGCACCAGTTTAATGTTAAAAACAAAAAAAAAATAAAACAAAAAATCAATTGAAATCGTATCTTTAAGCGACGAAAGCGATATTTAACCAATTCGTCACAAGAATATGCGCGTTTTTGATTACGGGTAGCAGTGAATTATTTAATGTACATTTTGAAAATTTCTCCATATATACAATGAAAAATTAAATGTTTTTAAAATTTTTCCATGTCTAATTTACTTATTTAATAAAATTAAAATTTTAAATATTAAAATTAACTTTAAATATTAAAAAAATATTTTGTACTTGATATGTAAGATAAGTCCCATATCATTAGAATCCGTTACTTGGTTCCACAGCTGTACTAAATAGTACGAGGATCTATAAATGTACTGCAAAGTAGCGAGGAGTAGCTGCTAGCCAACGTCGAGAATCGTGCGAGTTCAAAGGGCTAATTAAAAGCTTACATTATTTTATTATACGAATACTTTTGACTATCACTGTAGATACATACCTGGACTTTAATTCTATGTAAAGATTATTTAAGATATTAAATGATTGAAATAAAAAAAAATATATATAACTCGGTTAATTAAAAATAATATCAAAAGATAAAGCAATTTTATAACTTTAAAATTTTAAGTTCGAAAATACCATACTATTCTAATACTTGAGTTATTGACCGTATATATTTCCATATATTCATTATGTGACTAACATAAAGGCAAATATATTTATGTAAGATAATGTTATTACATTTTCTTTTTCAATTACTCTTATAAATCGTATCACTGACGTATATATTTTACGTTACCGTTCTTCAAAGTTTAATTATAAATTAAATTTTAAATTACAAATTTACCAAAGCGTATCGTGGTTCGTTTTGATAGATGGTGCCAACTCTGGTCCAATTGAAATGCATCAGCAACGCTACACGTGGCGCGTTGAAAGCGTTTTCGGACGGCACTACTCTGAAGAAATTCGGGAAGCTGTTACTTGTGAACATCGGATGAGTGTCCGCGTAACTGAGCTGAAACACAAATAAAAGCAAACAAAAATAATGGATGAAAATTCTTTATATTTTTCTTTTAATTTCAGCATTTTTTAGCAGGTTTTAAACGTTCAAACCATACATATGTGTGGACAGAACATTAATAAATGTAATACAAGAGTTTGTTTAACGATGGTTGCTGACAGTGCTTTGGCTAAATTATAAGGGCTATAAAGAAGGGATTAAATGATAAAAGAAAAGAATAGATAAAAAGAAAGAGATTAGAAAAGAAGAAAGTAAATTGAATGATCGAAACAAGCGTAAAAATTGTTGAGTAGAAACAAACTAGATCATATGCATCCTTTATATATTTTTGTTAGCAAACACTTCAAGTTGTTAGCCAGGAAAATAATAACACAAGTACTGTTTTCAAGTGATACGAAATACCAAATTTTTTATTTAAAAATAATACAATGTGCTAGATTATAAATATATGTACAAATATATTAGACTACAGGCCCGACCTAAAAAATCGATGGGTCATCTGATCCCCCAGGAAACCTATATGGGACGATATAGAGGCATAAAATAATAATTTTTAGCACTATGCCGTTACTTGTAAGCTGTCCAACTGAGTGCAGGTGAGAATTAAAAAGCATAAAATAACCGGGTGCTTTTTTATCCAATGATTTTGTACGGCATTTTTACCACCTATAGATCCATCGAAAATAATGAGAAAACACGTAGTGCCGTTAAAAAATTGTAAGCAACAAAGTCGGACAAAATTTTTGATTTTCCGGAGATTTCCCGGGTTTAATTAATCATTTGATTTTGTACGGCGTTGGTTTCATACAGTTTCAATACCTATTCAAATTGATTATTTTGCAACGCCGTACAAAAATCATGCAACAAGGGAGAAAAATCGAGGGTTAAAATCCACCTTTTTCCATGGGTCCGGGGGGTGATCTGCATGATTTTGCCATGCATGAATCATTCTGCATGATTCATCCAAAAAGTTGGAAATTGGGTGCCGTACGAGTTGAAGCCGAGAGATGTCGAACGGCGATTTTGCATGTCAGAAATGTTGCTGCAGCGGCATAAAAAAAAGTTGTTTCTGCATCGTATTGTCACTGGTGACGAAAAGTGGATCTATTATGATAATCCTAAACGCAAAAAAACATATGCAAAACCTGGCGAGCCGACCAAATCGACGCCGAAGCGAAATATTCACATGAATAAGGTCATGCTCTGCATATGGTGGGCTCAGAAGAGTGTCATATACTACGAACTACTTCCTAGTGGTCAAACCATCAAAGGACCATTGGATCGAACCCAACTAATTCGTTTGAAACGGGCATTGGTGGAAAAACGGCCAGAATATCAGACCAGGCACGAGTCCGTAATTTTTCTTACGAGCGCTCTTACCGGAATGCCCTTCACTTCAGTAGAGGGAATCAAAAATTGCCTCAATACGTTCTTGGGCTCAAAAGACGAGAACGTTTTTTTGGTCCGAAATTAACAAATTGCCCGAAAGATGGGAAAAAATTGTATTTTCCGATGGACAATATTTCAAATGAAAAATATGTAACCATTTTTTCAGAATAAACCCTCAAATTTTATGAAAAAACGCTGGAAACTTACTTGTAGACCCAATATTTAATGTCCAGGAATACTGTTGAACATTATTTTTTTCGTTCGAAATCTTATAATAAATGACGAGTGTTATACAATGAATTTGCTTGATTGTGGAATGACGTTCTTGAAATCGTGCCCAGGGAATGCTGGGGAATCTAGCGCTTCGAAGAGACGATTAATTATCCTTTTTTTAAACTATTTGAATATTATATACAAAAGACTGATTCTTTGATATAAAATAATTTCATGTGCTAGTTTCCCTGATTTATGCGAATAAGGGTTATTATATCTACTTTGGCAGTTCTTTAATTATCTTTCCGGTAATTAGGTTTTGTCTTGGAGAACATTTGGATTAACGTTTGGAACGATTGTTAATTTGACTTCAATCGTAGTAAGGGGTTTAATTTGTGGAGATATTTGAAATAGTGCGTTCAGAAAATTCCTAATTTCTTCTCCTTCGATGAGTGAATGGAGGGAGATTATTTCAATATATTCGCCAGTTGTGAAACGAAGAGATTTGCTTTGTCTACTGGTCTTTAAGCCCATCCACCAAGTGGTTTGGTGAAGCGGCGGGATGTCTTGTGTTGGGCGACTTGTTATCTCCCAAAGCAAATACCAGGTGTACCGAAAAGTCATTACCGGTTTTTCTAACAGATGTTATCGATTTAACACATATGTCATTTTATTTTACTGACATCAAGCTTCAAAAGCTATACGTATTATACTTTGCGAAAGTAACACGTCATAGATTTATACCTCTTTGAAAATGTCAAGTTTCACGCCAGAAAACGTGCATTCGCAGCACGCATTACTTTTCTTATTTAATCAAAAAAAAGCAACTGAAAGCCATCGTTTGCTGGTAGAAACTTACGGTGAGCATACTCTAACCTTAAAAACTTGTAAGGCGTAGTTTCGAAAATTTAAAAGTGGTGATTTCGATGTGCAAGACAAAGAACGTTCTGATAGACCGAAAAAGTTTGAAGATGCGAAACTGCAGGAGTTATTAGATGAAGATCGAACCCAAATTTAAAAACAATTAGCAAAAGCGTTAAATGTGGCCCAAGAAACGATTAGCGACCGATAACGAGCAATGGAAAAATTCCAAAAGATGGGAAAATTGGTGCCACATCAATTGAATGATGGGCAAATGGAAAATTGAAAAATCGTCTGTGAAATGCTGCTTTAAAGGTATGATCTTAAGTCATTTTTGTATTGAAAAGTGATGGGTGATGAAAAGTGGATTTATTTTGGAAACCCTAAGCGCAAAAAATCATGGTTATCACCTGGCGAAGCCGGCCCATCGACTCCAAGGTCAAATCGTTTTGGTCGCAAGACAATGCTCTGTATTGGGTGGGACCAGAGTGGCGTGGTGTATTATGAACTGCTGAAACCTGGTGAAACACAAAATCGAAGAGGTTGTGTGTGTAAGTCTGTGTGAGTCCAAAAAAAAGCATTTAAATGAAATTCAAATCGAGGACGAAGTGATTGATTCTTTGACCGTCAATACACCTTTTGTCACTTTCAAGAATTGTAAGTTTAAACAGATTATAATAAATAATAACAAATACAACTCTCATAATCAAGTAAATAACTAAATGTATACGTAGTAACCTATTTATGTTTGTAATATTTAACTAAACAAATATCTTTAAAACTTGTAAAAATAAATAAAATATAAAATATATGAGACAACACATGTTATTAAAATCATTAATTATATATCATAATATATAATATATATAAGCATGAGCAGTAATTTATTAAAACATTTTTAAGGTTAAGAAACTAGTACGCATGCGCTAAAAAATAGAAGCATGCACACTAATTTGTTACTACATTCAAGCGGKAGGGAATGAGGCACTTTTCTCCCTGGCACAGATTCAAGCGGGCGGGAATGTGGCACTTTGCTCCCTGAAAACAGGGAGCAAAATACGAACTTTCCATCCAGGTGTGAGAAAATAATAATTTATAAACTCCCTATTTAATTAATTAAATTTTATTTAAAAAAATATTTTTCAAACTTAAACAATAATTTATATTTTTAATAGAATCTAATTTTATATTTTATTTATTTTTATATTAAAATTATTTAAAATTTTTTTATATTTTGTTTTATTTTTATATTTAAATTCTTTGAAAGTGGGGGGCTTCGCCCTCTCAACCCCCGCCGGGGGCTGTGCCCCGGACCCTCTGATTTTTTTTCTTCTGGGAGCTTCGCCCTCAGGCCCCCACCAGGGGTTTCACCCTTGGACCCCTTCTTGTTGTAAAATTTGCATAATCTTCGCAATAATGTATTGTAAATGTATTAATTGACAACAAATAAAATAGTATATTACATACCTAGAACAGTATAGTAAGAAAGCGGCAACTTCGTTTTACACAGTGGGAAGAGAGGAAGGCGGAAAGCGGCAACTTCGTTTCTTACAGGTGCAGCGGGAGAAAAGTAGGCACTTTTTGCCCGGGAAGAAAATTAGTATATTATTATTTAATTACAAGCGAACTTTCGATACCGGTGTGAGAAAAAAATGTATACTCACCACGGGAGAANAAGCGTTCAAAAGATATTCAGAGACAAAAATCAGTACACATGAAAGTTTGATGATATATATATATGGGGCATTCCACGTTAAATCAGTCACTTTTGACCCCGACCCCTTTCGATTTGGCTGAAAGTTTTTTATCCTATGCTATCCTATGAAAAACAATTTTCAGAATTATTTCAAATTTTTTTACCAGACCCAAAAAAAATTTTTAATTTTTGAAAAAAATAGCTCTTTTCTTTGAAATGGCTATAACTTCTTTAAAATTCAACTTATTGGAACGTTTTTTTTTATATTTGTTTTTAAATGTACTTTTCAGAAAAAAATACAAAAAAATTTCAAAATTATAAAATCCAGGAAATTTTCGTATTTTTTGAGAAAAACCGTTATTTTCTCGAAGTTCGCCATTTTTCATTTTTTTTTACTTTCTAGAAAAAAAATTTTGTCTAAATGTGCGATTATCTCCGCCAGTCCCAGAATAAGCTGAGTTAGTTTCCTATTTTTTTTATTCAATTAAAAAAAAATTTTTTATTAATTTTTTTTTTAAATTAAATTAATGCAATTAAACAATTTTACAATATTATATACTTAATTTATAGTCTTAAAATACAAAGTTTAAAAAAAAAAATTCAACCTTTCGTTTTTTGCTGTAAGAATATGATGGAATTATTACGTCATTTTTATGTCAGAACATATGACTTAATATTGAAGTCATAAATAAAGTCACTTTTCACTTCAATAATTTGAAGATGACTTTATGACATACGTATGACATCATTTTAAGGTCTTGTGTTCACTGGGTTCCGTTATGTGTACGAAAAAATTTGAAGATGACTTTATGACGTATGTATGACATCATATGAA